TCGGTTCTTTGTTGCTGGGCTTTGTAAGGCCGTTCTGATTTCAGGCATAGTTCTCTACCTGGCCGCAATTTTCATCTTCAAGAACCCGAGTTGCTCACCGGTGGAAGAGCTTTTATCATTATCATCATCGCCCTCTTTCCCGGCGCTGAACCCGCCGGGAAAGAATAAAACGGGTTCGTCTCCGACGAATATCAGCCACTTGCTCTTCGGCCTCATCGGCTCGGAAAAGGCATGGCACTACCGGAAGGCCTACGTCGAGGCGTGGTGGCGGCCCGGGGAGACCCGCGGGTTCCTATATCTCGACGTGGAGCCGAAAGGGGAACTCTTACCATGGTCGGCGGCTTCGCCGCCGTACAGGGTGTCCGACGACATAAGCGCGATGGTGAGAGAAACGAAGCACGTGGCGCCAGTCATGGCTCGCATGGTGCATGGGATCATGGAGGTGTTCCGGGAGCGGTCGCCGCCGGAGCAGGAGGTGCGGTGGGTGGTGATGGGCGACGACGACTCCGTGTTTTTCGTGGACAACATGGTTGATGTTCTGGCGGCATATGATCATACCAAGTACTACTACTTCGGCGGGCAGTCTGAGTTTATCAAGTCAAACTACTGGTTCTCGTTTAACCAGGGATTTGGCGGCGCCGGTTTCATTCTTAGTTACACTCTAGCGGCGGCGCTGGCGGAGGGTATGGAAAGTTGTTTAAGGAGATACGCACGGGTAAGATCGGCTGATACAATAACGATGTTGTGCATATCTGATCTTGGCGTTAATCTCACACCCCTCAAAGGGTTTCATCAGGTAATTTATATTGGAGAATCGGTAAAAATATTACCTCCATAACTTTTGGAAAATCAAAATATGACTGGTTGTAAAGGGTTTTGTTTTTTAATCTTCCCAGTTTGACTCTTTTGACACAGTTTGATTCTTTTTGTAAAATTTTTAATCATAACATAATGTGAGTTTTGAATAATTAATGGGCAAACTTTATGAACTTTGACCATTAATTATTCAAAACTCACATTATGTTATGATTAAAAAATTATTTTATATAACTCATTGTAAAACATATTATTTGAATGTTAATTTATTATGAATTTTATAAATATAGATATGTAGATATTTGCAGTCAAAGTTCAACTTAGAAGACCGTGAAAAGTCAAAATGGGAAGAACTTTATGTTACTAGTAATTTATTTAATTAACTTCTCTATTAAGTTTTAAGTTAAAATTTTGGGTGAATGTTCTACACTTTATGAAGAACATGTTAAATTAAAAAATTTCAATAAAAAATTTGACCTAGAAAGTTTCGAAACGGGCTTGGCCGAACAATAGTTCTAGTTAGTCGAGATTGACCAATCATTTGAGAGTGGATGTTGCGAAAGGTAGACAAGACGCTCAATCTGAGTGGCAGAGAGGCAAGGCTGAAATGGGAATAAACAGGTTGGCTAACGTCAAACCAGCGGCGGACACAAGGGGGCTATGGTGGGCAGCCGTCCCTACCGGAAAAAATATTTCTAGGTATATTTACCCCGAAATTTTTAATAGAGTTAATTATCAAAATAGGACTAAAAGTCATTCACTTTGCACAAATAGGACCAAAAAATAAACTATGTTTCCATAGGACTAATTATGTGTGTCTTGGACAAATATACCCTTATACCTATTGGAATGTTTTAATTCATAATAAAATAATAAAAAATAATAAAAAATCGTAATATATACCAAAAAATTAATAAAAATATTTTGAATTAATAAAGTCTTTCATATTACCAAAAAAAAAGTCTTTCATATAAAAAAAATTCGTAAAATATTTTGAATTAATAAAGTCAATTTTAACCTTTAAAAAAAAATTAAAAAAAATTAAAAAAAAATTAAAAAAAATTAAAAAAAAATTAAAAAAAATTAATAAAAAAATCAAAAAAAAACTGTCGCCGCCGCCTCTGCCGCCCCAGAACCACCACCTCTAGTCATTTGGGGAAAAAATGCCAAATTTATTATGAATTCCATATTTTTGGCATAATTCAGAATGATTTAAGATGGAAGAAAAAAAATGTTGGCATTGTCAAAGAAAAATATGCCATACTTTTGGCATTTTCCGAAAAAAATGGAAGTTTGTAGGAAATATGACATTTTTTTTAACGGTCGGAGATGGTGGTGCAGGGAGGCGGTACCACCACCTCCTGTCACCGGGGTAAAAAAATGCCAAAAAAATTATGAATGCCATATTTTTGGCAAAAGTCAAAAGAATTCAAGTTGGCAGAATGAAAATGTTGGTATTCTCATAGAGAAATATGCCATTTTTGTGGAATTTAAAAAAAAGTGGCATTTTTTACACCGATCGGAGGTGGTGGTTCAGGGAGGTAGTACAGGCGGTGGGAAAGGTATCCATATTTTTTTTAATTTTTTTTATGGAGTTTTACTATTTTTTTATTAAGATTAGATTAGATTTTATAATGGGCAAATTTATCTGAATAGGACTAAATTACAGGGAGTAGTTTTTTTTCAAAACTAGAACCAACTAGTTTAAAATGCCTTGAATAAGACTTTTTATTTGTGATTGAACCAAAATACCCTCGTAGGACTTGAGCAATGATGCCCTAGGTCGCCGAACTGCCACATGCGGCTTGAATCCGTTGCCGCCGCCACAGGCTGATCCGCCACCAACGGATTGTTCATGGCTATGAAAAAGAACTACGAGAGCAATTAGTTAGATTAATTAATTGATTATATTAGGGGTGAAAATGAAATTATTAGTCATTTTTAAAGAACACTAAACATATGCTCGATGCTCCTATTTTTGGAACAGGACTATATTTTAGTCTTAGTTTGAGAAATTTCCTCATTACAATATAACGTTCAATCCCACACTTAATAAACACCTTATTTCACAGCATGAAAATTACTCCGTATTTTTAATGTGGGTACTATACATTTCGTATATAAAATATTCCGAATTTATTTCATTCGTTCTAAACAAAATTCATTCACCCATGGGAATTACTACAGGTTCGCCGAAATGTTCTTTTCTTGGTCAATGATGGCAAATTTTGGACAACAATTTTAATGATTATATTTGTGTATAATTTTTATATTTTATACTTTTATGAAAGTATTTTGAATAAGGAATATTTTGATATAATTTTTATATTCCAAAGTATTTTGTATTAAAAAATATTATTGGTCAAAGTTGATTGTCGTTCACCAAGAAAAATCAAATTGATGAATCTTTCCGGGACTGAGGAGTACTTGTAAAATAAAAACTTGACCTTTACGATCATAAATTTGGGATTGTTCTAGGTTGACTTACATGGGGATCTATCCGGTTTCCTATCCTCCCACCCCAAAGTTCCACTGCTATCCCTTCATCATTTGGACATGGTGGAGCCCATCTTCCCGTCAATGAACCGGTTTGACTCGGCCCAACATCTCCTTAAATCGGCGGCGGATTACGACCAAAGTCGCATGTTACAACAGACCATTTGCTACCACAGAAATAACAGCTGGACGGTTTCCGTTTCGTGGGGTTACTCGGTTCACATTTACGAGAAAGTCCATCCTCGGAGCTACTTGCAGATGCCGATCGAAACGTTTAAGCCGTGGGTAGCCAAGGGTAATATGGACCATCCGCTTTATATGTTCAACACGCGCCATCCTTCCAACGATCCGTGCGAAGCCCCGCACGTGTTTTTCCTTAAAACTGGTAATAAAACGGCGGAGGATGGAATCGTTATGACGTATCTCCGGTCGTCGGCGAGAGGATTACCGGCGTGTTCTTTAAATTCAGTCACCGGCAACAACTCGGCTGACTATGTTTCAAGGATTGAAGTTTACTCTCCGCTCACAAAACGTCCTCAGGTAATCTTTTCTCAAATAATCAATGTTACGTTTATAGGGGTTATCCCAAATAATCCAATTTGTGATTCATTGGAAAATTGCTGCAACATGAGTACAATTGTTAGTCCTCATGTTTTTATTTCTTAAATAAGAGTAATTATTGCGAGGTTTGATAAATATTGTCATATTTAAAGTCTGAAATTATCAACATGACAGTAAATACTCCTATTTAGGTAATAAAAACATGATAGTTATATTTTGGAATAAACACACATGTTTACTCCTATTGAGGATAATTTTCTTTCAGCATTTTAAAATTCTAAACATGATCTAATAATATTGTTGAACTCTCTTATTGTTTCAGATGGACATATGTGAATGTTGCGACATTATGCATCCACAAGGTGGAAGCACATTGAAAGTGAAGTATAGGGAATGTGTGAAAAATGAGGTTATTGCTTAATTAGTGGAGTGTAATTAATTAGTTTTTCTTTCTCCTACATTTTGTTCCCCTAAAATAGCCTTACTCTATTTTGTAGTAACGTACGTAGTAGTACTTTATATATACGAGTATTATACTTATAGTTGATATGATTATTATAATGTGTGACAAATGTGGTGTACCTACATCATTAATTGTTACATTATTAGTTTCTGTCAAAAAAAATACTACGTACTTCGTATACATTATTAGTCACGCATGTGGGAATTTTTATTTTTACATTTCTACTAAAAATGAAGACTAATTTAGGGAAAAAATTACACTCTGATTTACTTGTGCTCTTTGCTGTCCCCAGTAAATGAGAAAAAAATAAATGAATAATTTGTTGAAATTCTTCTTATGAGCATTGTTTCGAGCATATGCTTTTTCCATTTCTATATAAAAACGTGAAATGGAAATGTTTTTTCCCTAATTTGACCTTCTAGCTTTGTGAATTGTGATTGCTTGGTGATTTGAACTTGTGATAATAAAAGTATTATTTTTTATAACCAATTCAAAAGTAATTCCTTTATAATTTAGAGATTATAGATGTATTTTATGGTAAGAAGACGCTACTCTCTCCGTCTCGTAATATACTTCTCACTTTCGTTTTTGAATTGTCCCAAAAAATGTTCTCATTTTCTTTTTTGAAAGTTATGTGTGACTAACGTTCATTTACATTTGTTTTTTTTTGCACAACGAAATCTTAAGTATTATTAATGAAGTCATGGCTTAAAGCCTGCATAATACAAGTAGGAGGAATCGAGAGCCACACATGGCTGTCAGACAAAGAAACGGCTGCTCGAGCAAGAGTGTGAGCAACACGATTCGCAGACCGCCGTATAAAAGCAATAGAAATGCTATTAAAATCTTTCATTAAATCTCTAACATCTTCCACTATCAAGCCAAACTGAGCAACACCACCTCCGTTATAAATAGCAGAGACAACTTGAGAAGCATCAGACTCGATGTCCACATAATCCCAACGGTTCTCCTTCAGCCAGCTCAATGCCTCACGGACCCCTAAAATTTCGGCTTCTTTGGGTGAAATATTCCCTTCCCAAGGCTTAGCACCAGCAGCCACAAGCTGACCCGCTGCATCCCTCACCACCCACGCTAGTCCCCGCTTTCCATCCATCCCGGTAGCCGCATCAACGTTGACCTTCATTCGGCCCTCCACGGGTTTTTTCCATACCTCCGCAGCCCTCCTTTCAGTCCGGTTGAAGCACTCCCTGCCTTGTTCTTGCGCTGCACGCCACCCAAATAGAACAGATCTCGCTACAGCAATGATTTGATCAACTCCACAAGCTTCAGCATGCCAAACCATCCTATTCCGTCCCTGCCATAAACTCCAACAATACATCACAAATTCACAGCATTGGTCCTCATTTTTAGAAGAGAAAAATCTCTCTGTCCACTCCAAAAAACTACCCCCAGTTACATTATTTTCACCCCAGCCCACTTTCCTCCCTAATTCAATTGCCATGTTACATGAAACAAATAGATGTGTACAAGATTCTAGCTGCCCACACCCAAAAACACATTGGTTTGGCACATCAACCCTCCGCTCCCTAAGTTTGTCCGCTGTTGGAATATTGCCTGTACATAATTGCCAATCAATATAACACATTTCCATTTTTTTTTTACTCTTTTCAAGTCAAACTGGAAACTATTTTGGGATTGATTAGACAAAAAGAGATAAGAGGGTTGGGGATGAAAGCTCGCTGATGCTTGGAATTGGACGAAACGATGGACCCGGAAGGTTGAAGTATTGACGTCCATGAGCCTATGATTAGGCAATTATTAATGGGTTCAATAGGAAATTTGATTCGTTGCATTAAAATTTAGCCGACTCACTCTATTAAGCAAATGTTTCTGCTTAAAAAAACGCTTTTAGACTAGGAAAAAATGATTAATAGTAAAATTTGAGTGTTTGAGAAAAAGTGATTTTGAAAAGTAAAAGTTGGTACTGTTTAGTAAAATACTCCGTAAGTGTTTTTTGTGTAATAGAAAAGGGAAGAGCACTTTTCACACGAAAGTCGAGAAAAGTAAAAATTAGTAGTGTTTGATAAATAAGTTTTTTTAGGCCAAAAGCCGAGAAGTGCTTTTTTAAGCAGTTGCAAACCAGCCCTAATTGGAGAAAAAAATGGAGATTGAAAAAAAAATCTTGCCCCATGACTAATTTAGATATACTTGTATTTGTATAAAACAAAAAGACATAAACGTGTACTACTTTTCACACTTTTCAGTCGCAGATCAGATCAGACTAGACTAAATCAAATCAAACATAAACAGATTAGACCAATCAAATTTGGACAGTTATAAAATACATAGAGATCATAGATTTAACCAACCATACCAGACTAGAATTGAACAAACCAGATCAAATCAAATCAGACCAGACCAGACCATCAAATTTCAATCCAAAAAAACACATCATAACTACTATCTCCTTGTGTGCAAAACTAGTGTTTCCGACTTTCCGTTGCTTAAAGTTGTTATTGAAAAAGCAATTATTTAGATAATAATAATTAAATACTGCGTAAGTAATTTAACTATATTGCTGAGTATATAATATAATAAGTCATTGTGGGTATTGTGATGTTATAGGATGAATTAGTTCTAACATTATTTCATAATTAAAATTTCAGAATATTAAAATTATTTTCTAAAATAGAAATATGAATCTTTAATAGAGATGTCAAAAAAATAAGTGTAAACTTTAAACTGGAATAGACACTAAAAATACGGAATTCACGGAGATATACAAAACACATGCAAAAAATGTTTTGGCACGAGTTACTTAGCACGAAAACATCAACCAATCTTGAAGGTGACAAACTAAACGGAGTATTAAAAGAACTGAAATATGTCATAGAATATGACAATCTCAGAACCTCAAAAGTTAGAATAACATTGAAGGTGCACCACTTCAAATACAATATTTTTTTTTGAACGAAACTGGCTTAACTTATCATTACAGAAAGAACAGAACCAAAGCACGTGACAAAGTGACGATAAGTCTTCTGTCTACCGTCCGTCCAAGGATAAGACTTTGAATTAATCACCTCCGAAAAAGGCATATTATTCGCTGATCACGCTTTGGGCTTATCTGAGCGGATGACTTGGAGACTAGACTCTTCATCCCCTGGCGTAGGTTCAAGAGTTTTTTTGTTGGAAAGACGCAACACAAACAAAACAAAGTACGCATCCAAAACGTGGGAAATAAAGAAAAAAGAGCAAACAAAATAAAAGTATCTTTCGGCTAACAAACCGCCATCAAACTCAGAAACTCTGTCGGGTCTGGGATCCAACACTGGCCCTTGTCCCGTTTTTTGGACATCAAGCACCATATCTTCCTTTGTTGCGTCCTCCTTGACCTGTTCCTCCCAAGTGCGCCTTCTCTTTAGCTTTCCTGGCCCTCCGTCCTCCTGAGCCCCACCTGGATTAGTAGGAGTCCCCATCATGCTTTGAGTGCTCTCCCCTACCTCTTATGGGTCCTGAACCTGAGTTGTCTTCTCCACGCGAGCCTTGTTATAGCCACCTGCTGAGGAGCTCCCTTCCGACACCAACCATTTGCTACCCATAGAAGGTCTAGTCTTCCTTCCACGTGCTCGAAGCCACGAACCAAATGGCTTAGTCAAACCTTGTCCACCTTTTTTATACATTAGAGGGCAAAATTTTTCTGCATGTCCGATAACTCCACAGCAAAAACAGAAACTTGGACGTTTTTCATATTTAAAATCGACCCAGTACCCTTCTCCTTTACTATTCCTAATGGTAGTCCCAATTTTTAAGGGTTTACTAACATTCATACGAACTCTAACCCGCATATAAGCTTCCCATTTTTCATCAAATTGGTTATCATCCCACCTGACAAATTCACCTAGATAATTCCCAATTTTTCTTGCCGTTCCAAGATTATCATAACTATACGGCACATTATGTACTTGTACCCAGAGCTCAACCGTATCTAGCGGGACTTTAAGTGGGATATCTCCCGGTTTAAGAGCTTGTAGAACAATCAAATTCTGATCAAACAACCAGGGACCAACTTCAAATACAATATTAAATACTATCTTCATCGTTTTTTATAATTTTGAAAACTAGCACAAAAAATAATAATTTAAAAATATGTGTGATTGAGATTCACGTAAATGGGAGAGAAACGGGTAAGAATGGTAAATTATTTGATCATGAAAGTGACAAAATTTTTAGGATAACAAAAAAACACCAAGTTACAAAGGAGGAAAGGAATTTTTTGATAAATCCCCGAAAAAAACCTATAAATCTAAACAAAATCTTAAAATGACTAAGAGCCCGTTTGGAGAACTCTGTTTTCGGCTTATCAGGCTTATCAGCCAGCTTTTTCACCAAACACGTAACTTTTACTTTTGCGCGCTGAATTGTAGTAAGGTTGGAGTTACTTTTCTGGCTGTATTGGCTGAAGTTACTGTAGAGGACCATTTTAGCTATTTTTACATATAATTTTTTCTTTAATTTATTAATAAAATATATTTTTAAAATATTTTTTTCTTAAATCAGCAGAATCAGCCAAAACAGCCACTTCAGCCAGAATATCATAAATTTCAACAGAATCAGCCAAAACAACCGATTTTGGTGCTACCAAACGGGCTCTAAATAGATTTAAACCGCTGCGAACGATTATGCAAATTATGAAAGATTTGCTTCTCAACCGCTGCAAACGATTTATGTACAAAACAGTATGCTTAAACTGCACTAAAACCAGGAGTTTTCTTCATTTTTTGCTCACTCATAGATCTCCTCACTTTTGCAACACCCTGCCATTTCCCAGCACCCGCATAAACATTTGATAACAAAACCTGATCGCCAGAATTGTTAGGATCCATCTCCAAAAGCTTTTCTTTCACAAGTTCAGCCAATTGAACTTCACCATAGAAGCTAGAAGCTCCCAAAAGAGTCCGCCATATGACAGTGTTTGGGGGTATAGACATTTGCATGATAAAATCATAAGCCACTTTTAACTCTCCACGCCTGCTGTACAGATCAACCATACAGCCATAGTGTTCGATATCTGGTTCAATGTTATATACTCTTGTCATTCTATCGTATATATATCGCCCTTCTTCAAGTAACCCAGAATGGCTACATGCACAAAGAATTGAAACGAAGACAACCCGGTCTGGTATAGTTCCAAAAGCTTCCATTTTTTGAAAAAATTGGATCGCCTCTTCACCATAGCCGTGCATTAGAAGCCCAGTAATCATACATGTCCAAGAAACCAAACTCTTCTTCTTCCTTGGTATCTGTTCAAAGACTAAGCGGGCCATCCCGAGATTCCCAGACCTGGCATATATATCCAACAGTGCATTATTGACTGAGACAATCCACATAAGTCCAGCTTTCTCTACAAATCCATGGACGGCTTTTGCAAATTTGAACTCCCCAGATTGAGCACAGGCAGATAGAACCCCTGTCAGGCTGACCTCATTGGGAGTCATTCCATCCCTCCTTAACTCCCTGAAAAGCCATAATGATTCATCAAAATAGCCGTTAAAGGAAAACCCATAGATCATGGTGCTCCAAGAAACGGCATCCCTTGTAGACATTTGATCAAATAACTTCTTGGCACAGCCTAATTCTCCTGCTTTGGAATACCCAGCAAGCATCACATTCCAGGAAGTCAAGTCCGTGGAAGGCATCAAACAGAACATCGACTCTGCACCGCTCAAATCACCAACCCGGATATAAGCAGTAAGTATCGCATTCCGGGTAACCACATTCGGTTCGGACATTTCATCGAACATGTTGCGTGCAAACCGTATATACCCACACTCTGCATACATGCTGATCGTGGTAGTCCCTACAAAGAGATGGCAATGGAGGCCACGAGAGAATGATTGGCAATGAATCTGAGACCCACTCCTGAAACACCTCATGTTCGCGGCCGCCTTGAGCGCGAAAGCGAGAGAGAAGCTATCCGGAGGATACAGCGAGCTCCGAATCATGGCTACGAACGTCTTGAGGGAATTCTGAGGAAGGTCCGACTCAGAAAATCCGCGAATGAGCGTCTTGTACATGGAGACGTCTGGGTTCGGGGTGTGGAGGAAGATGCGGTGGGCGTAGTCGAGTGCGCCGCCGATGATTACAGAGCAGTGACTGAGCAGCTTCCCGGCGATGGATTGGTCGGATTCGAGGCCGGCCTTGCAAACGTAAGCGTGGAGTTGCTGGACGCATTTCAGAGTCTTGCAGCTGGCCAAGAGCAAATGGCATGAGCTTTCGGCGCTGCTCATGAGCGCTTCATTGTAGGAGCGGAATGGGTACGGTAAGTCAAACCCGCCGGGCTTTATTTCAGCTCAATGAACAGGGAAGCAAATGCAAATTAGAAAAACGGTTTGTTTGATTTAACTTTGCACTTTTTGAATTAGTTTTTTTTATCGTTTGAATTAGTTGAGAAATATGAATATTCCCTAGTAAAAATTATTTTGATAGAAACGTAATAAAGTTTTTGGGACAACCTGGAAAAAAGCTAGCAAGTTCAATGGGACACTGGGAATATAAAACTGACAATAATGTAATTGAATAAATTATTTTCACTTTTTCAAATAGAAAAATTGAAGATATGGCTGACAGAGTTAGGGTTCGAGAAGTCATACAAATTTGCCACATACGCCTTGAAATCGTTGAATGATTTTGATCTCAAGTCTTCCTCTTTCGTTGTTGTACTACGTCCATCCGATCGAGCTAGAGGATTTTAAAGAGGAAAACCATTAATTGCATCGATTCTTCCCTAGGGTTCTACGCTGGGGCGGCGTTTTCTGGTGGGGCTTGTAGCCTACGGCCGTCGGTTTTATTCGAGATGTGAGTGTTATCAGTTAGAATTGTCGAGGATTGGGAAATCTAGCAACGGTCCAAGTAATAGACTAAATATATTAGGCATATTCCTAAATATATTACTCTGTGACATTGTTACAACTCACAAGCCTGGTTCCTTTCAGAGACAAAGGTGGACCAAACAAAGGTTAGTGTTGTGATGCGTTGGGTGGGTATGAAGAGTTTTGTGGTGCAAGAAGGAGTGTGTCGGTGTGGAGGGCTGATACTCGGCTGGCGGAATGACATCAAGTTGGAGGTTTTGCAAGGATAGTTTATGACTCTTAAGCTTGATATGAGCAAGGGATATGATCGGGTGGAGTGGTCTTTCTTTCAAAAAACTATGGAGAAGATGGATTGTGATGGAGGATGGATTGATCTTATTATCGAGTGGGTGTCTATTGTGTCATACTACATCCAATTTGATAGAGAGTGGATCGGTATTCATGTAATGTCGGGAAGAGGGTTACACAGGGAGATCCTCTATCCCCTTAGCTATTTATTTCCAAAGTATCAAACAACAAAAATTAACTAAAAACATAAACAAACATACGGAAATTACAAGGGTATCACCGTCTCTCTTTGACCCCAAATATTCCCTTAATGTTTACTCAGCTAAACATCAGAAACAGTTATGAAGTAGAGAAAATCATTACCCCTCAAAAGTATGATCCATCATTCACATGTGCTAAAAATCTCATGATTAATAAAATGACGATGGGTCCCTAAATCTCTATTCTTGATATTTATCATTGATTGTTGGATATCTAGAACCCACAAATACAGTAAGTGGAATAAATTATTCAAATATATGGTCTTTGTTCAATTACAAAGTGTTTATTTAACTGGGAAGGAATAAGAAAGGACAATGAGGAGGACTAGAATGAAAAGGATGAGGAGAACAATGGGGAAAAGTAGAATGAGGAGGAGGGGAATACTGATTGCATCTCAATCAAAGTTTGAATTGTTATGTGTATACTGTTGGGTGTGTTTCGGAAAATAAAAAAAATAATTAATAAAATTAATTAAATAAATGACTAGAGAAAAACAAGAAACGAGATGAAGCAGAATTAGCCAAAGATCGTGCTACGCACGATGTCCTTAAAACGTATTTGTGGCCTTCCACGGTGCTAGGAGCGTTGCAACAATCATTTCCCATGATACGATGACTACGAACTAATGTTTGAGCACACAAACAAAAGTTCCAGCGTGACGTGCACTTGTCGTGTGTGCACTCAAAATAAATTCAATACTAGCACTAATACGTAGTATAGCGTAGTAGAGTTCGTATCCACAGGGAAAGGAATAATTCTCTTTTTATAGAACTAGTAAATAAAAGGGGGGTTTAGGATTGAATGATTTAATTTAATTAAACAGAAAGATGAACAACTTAAATGTGATTTAATTCAAAGATAAAAAGGACTTGGCATTGCTACTTTCCACTTGTTGATATATTTTAGTCGATCATTGTTATATCTATAACTTATTCCCTCTCGAATACTCAATCGAGGAGTATATCCAATTCATCGAGGGTAGTTATTAACAACGACCGTTCATTAATAACCCTTACTATTAGTCAAGTATAGAACACCGCCATATACCGACTTAATAGTAGCATTTAATCTCTTAACTCCTTGATGAAATCAATTGAGATTGATAACATCAACACAACGGTTTCGGTTTAACCAACAAAATTAATCCCTCTTAAGTTTATTAACCACGACCGTGCATTAATAAACCGAAGTTACTTACTTGTGAAGCCATCAACGATTAACCATCGGTTCGTTGATCGTTTCTAGTAGTAATTAATGTCGAGATGTTAACTAATTGTCATCTTAGCAACACTCCCCAACATTAATATAGAGATAGATTAAGGGAAGAATTAATATTCAAGGAAGAAGATTAAATATGAATAATCCTACTATAACTAATGTCAAGATGTTATCTAATTGTCATCTTAGCAACACTCCCCAACATTAATATATAGAGGAAGAAAATAAATACTACCATAATTAATGTCGAGATGTTAACTAATTGTCATCTTAGCAACACTCCCCAACATTAATATATAGATAGATTAAGAGAATAATTAATATTCAAGTGAAGAAGATAAGAAAATAACTCACAGCTTTAATAATCAACAAGCTTCAAGAGCAACACCAAGAAATGGAAGTTTAGCTCCTCATTTGGAGACTAAACATGCTATAAAAATATAAAAGAAATACTATTCTAAACTAAGCTTAAGAGTATGGAAGAAGGGATTATGAAAAGTGAAGGAAAATGGGGCTATTTATAGGTGTTTTCAACACCCTGGGGCATTGACCCGCCCGGGTAAAAGGACATACCCGACCGGGTCAACGTCAAAATCAAATATTTCCCACGTTCTGGCGATCTTCGGCATGTTCTGGTGTTCCGGGTCACATCTGACCCAACCGGGTCAAATAAGTGACCCGCCCGGGTCTAGTGACTTTCTCAGCAGTTTCTGATTCTTTGTCATGCCCGACCGGGTGAAGTATTGTACCCGGTCGGGTTTTTGCTTTTGGGCAGCCAAATCTTATTTTTCTTCACTTCAAAGTCCTCCTTTTCAACACCCTAATTCCCAACTCTACTTTACAACTTACAAATGAAGATTAAAATACAATTACAACTAAAATCACACAAATGTTTACAAACTAAATAAAACGGTAAACAAACCACACAAATCAAACATAAAAACATACACTTATGCACTACTAATTAGTGCATATCAAACACCCCCACACTTGAACCTTTACTCGTCTCGAGTAAACAAAATCCAGCCCAAGAAGTCCTTAAAATGACAAGAGTATCAACACCAACATCCACGTGTGTTTGTAGAACAACACAAAAAATATCCTCAAAAATATAAGAGTAAAGAGGGATCTTCAACTCCACATTTTTTTATCAACCTCATTTTTTTTTTCATTGTTACCCTTAGGATCCTGCAGAAATAAAAGAAAATACTTTCTCTCATTCTCTCGTTTTGCCTAGGTGCCCTTTCGGGTTTTCATCCCAGCTTCCCACATTTTTCTGTTTTAATCCTCACAACTCACTCTTATTTTTGCCTTATTTTTGCTTAAGTTGCCTTTTCAGGTTTTCAACTTAACAAGCTTTTTTTTTTTTGAAAATAAATACAAGAATATAGAGTATGAATGTGATTTTTCCATAAAACTCTCCCGCCAAGCTAATCAAAGCACTGTCCCTAGTGCTTGTGTCTGAGATGAATGCGTTTTTTGGGTACTTTTGGGAGGTTTTGTTGGTGATTTGTGGGTGTGGAGATGAAGAGGGTGAAAAGGAGATGAATGAATTGGGTTTACTTGATGCATTTGGTGGATGGATGTAGGAGATATGAAGCTTTGGACTCTTGGAAATGGAGGAAATTTGGGGTTTGGTTCGAATGGGGAAAGAGAGTGAGGAAGAAGCTGCCCGCCCGCCTCCTGATCGGGATTTTTCCCGACCGCCCGGTCAGGTATAGTGACTGACCCGGTCGGGCGTAAACTGTTCACCCGAGGCAGAGAGTTTTTTTGCAGGGTTGCCCGGCCGGGTATAGGGGTCTACCTGGCCGGGTGTGTCTATTTTTCTCTGTTCCTCAGCTGCCTCGCTCGGGCAAGTTGTGCGGGTAGGGTATTTTTACGCTATACCCGACCGGGTGTAGTGTGGTACCCGGCCGGGTATGTTCCCCAGGCTTCACTTTTTTTTTTTGAAGTGTAAATTTAAACTAGAACAAAAAGTAAACGTACCTTACATGGGTTGCCTCCCAAGAAGCGCCTCGTTTAACGTCGCGGCACGACGCCATCATTGTGTTCAATCGTTCAAGCATGGATCGTGATAACTCATCTTCTTCAAATTTTCACCCGGGTGACTCTTATAGAAAGACTCAATTTTTCGATCCCTTATTTTGAAAATCTTTCCGGGATCAAATATCCGGTTTTCTATCGCTTCATATTGTGAGAGTGAGAGTCCATGATTTTCACTAAGCATGATCAATGGAAGGGGTTTTGATCCGGGTGGTATAAGAGGGAGTATGAAATATTTGTGTAACTCCACCGTTATCCCTTGCTTATTTGTGCACAAAGAGAAGTCTAAATTATACTCACAATTGCTGGAGATTTCATAGATATCTTTGTCCTTCTCTACCCTTTGTGTTTCATTTAGAGCCTCAGGAAATGGTGGCATGATCTCAGGAATGGCCGGTGGTTGAGTTGAGTTTTGAGGTTCCTCCCCCGATTGAGTTTTCTCCGTAAGTTCCTCTTCTTCCTCCTCCTCGCCCATGTGGTTCACAATGCTTGGCATTTGTTTCACTTGATTGTCCAAGTTCTGTTCGTTGGACACTGTTTCTTGCGGGCATTGTGACATATTTTGTTGCATATTTGTCACATTGATAGTGAGAGCTCGGATCATGTCTTCAGTTGACATGCTAGAATAAGAACTTGAGTATGGGTTATATGTGTTGGAGAATGAATCATACCTCTCTTGGAAACCAACATCATTCCTTTGTTCAAAAGTATTCTTTTTGAAGTTCTGGGCAAAAATCCGTAAGATGTCTGTGTGACATGCAAATGTTGCATGTATGGACATCTTGAGATTTTGAACATGAAATAAACTCCTTTATTGGAGAAGTTAAGACGGAAATTTGCCTCTCTAGGGATGATATGTTGGTATCCATATACTCATGTAAGCTCAGAAAATAGAAAAGTAAGATTTTTATTTTTTTTTATTTTTTTTTGTTTTTGATTTTTATGAGATAAAATAAAAAGAAAAATAATTGCCTTTCCCCGGCAACGGCGCCAAATTTGACGTGCACTTGTCGTGTGTGCACTCAAAATAAATTCAATACTAGCACTAATACGTAGTATAGCGTAGTAGAGTTCGTATCCACAGGGAAAGGAATAATTCTCTTTTTATAGAACTAGTAAATAAAAGGGGGGTTTAGGATTGAATGATTTAATTTAATTAAACAGAAAGATGAACAACTTAAATGTGATTTAATTCAAAGATAAAAAGGACTTGGCATTGCTACTTTCCACTTGTTGATATATTTTAGTCGATCATTGTTATATCTATAACTTATTCCCTCTCGAATACTCAATCGAGGAGTATATCCAATTCATCGAGGGTAGTTATTAACAACGACCGTTCATTAATAACCCTTACTATTAGTCAAGTATAGAACACCGCCATATACCGACTTAATAGTAGCATTTAATCTCTTAACTCCTTGATGAAATCAATTGAGATTGATAACATCAACACAACGGTTTCGGTTTAACCAACAAAATTAATCCCTCTTAAGTTTATTAACCACGACCGTGCATTAATAAACCGAAGTTACTTACTTGTGAAGCCATCAACGATTAACCATCGGTTCGTTGATCGTTTCTAGTAGTAATTAATGTCGAGATGTTAACTAATTGTCATCTTAGCAACACTCCCCAACATTAATATAGAGATAGATTAAGGGAAGAATTAATATTCAAGGAAGAAGATTAAATATGAATAATCCTACTATAACTAATGTCAAGATGTTATCTAATTGTCATCTTAGCAACACTCCCCAACATTAATATATAGAGGAAGAAAATAAATACTACCATAATTAATGTCGAGATGTTAACTAATTGTCATCTTAGCAACACTCCCCAACATTAATATATAGATAGATTAATAGAATAATTAATATTCAAGTGAAGAAGATAAGAAAATAACTCACAACTTTAATAATCAACAAGCTTCAAGAGCAACACCAAGAAATGGAAGTTTAGCTCCTCATTTGGAGACTAAACATGCTATAAAAATATAAAAGAAATACTATTCTAAACTAAGCTTAAGAGTATGGAAGAAGGGATTATGAAAAGTGAAGGAAAATGGGGCTATTTATAGGTGTTTTCAACACCCTGGGGCATTGACCCGCCCGGGTAAAAGGACATACCCGACCGGGTCAACGTCAAAATCAAATATTTCCCACGTTCTGGCGATCTTCGGCATGTTCTGGTGTTCCGGGTCACATCTGACCCGACCGGGTCAAATAAGTGACCCGCCCGGGTCTAGTGACTTTCTCAGCAGTTTCTGATTCTTTGTCATGCCCGACCGGGTGAAGTATTGTACCCGGTCGGGGTTTTGCTTCTGGGCAGCCAAATCTTATTTTTCTTCACTTCAAAGTCCTTCTTTTCAACACCCTAATTCCTAACTCTACTTTACAACTTACAAATGAAGATTAAAATACAATTACAACTAAAATCACACAGATGTTTACAAACTAAATAAAACGGTAAACAAACCACACAAATCAAACATAAAAACATACACTTATGCACTACTAATTAGTGCATATCACAGCGTACGAGAACACAGTATGAACACTTAAGAAATTTTCGGAATGCTGGAGGTGTTTTAGGGCTCAGAAATACGTGAGGAATGTGTATGAACATGCGTTGTTGCAAACCACCTGCCAGCCATTATATAGGAGGATTTGTTGTGTGTAAATGGTGAATTAATGGACCTGAACGTTGGACATCAATTACCAATCCGTTGGGCATTGAATCATCTATAAAATGTTCATTTAACGCTGCATTAAAAGATAAGAACATTGGGCATTTATTGTTGTAATGGTTCAGAATACGTCTGACCAGAAGACCCCCCAACAGAACACCCCTACGGAGGGGTTCTGTCCGAAGCCAGCAGAACACCCCTACGGAGGGGTTCTGTCCGAAGCCACCAGAACACCATACCGTATCTCTTGAGAGATAGATTTTTGGACGACATTTGTGTCCGCAGGTCGCCTGCGCACGCAAGTCACAGTTTTTCTTCTCCGATTTCGGGATTTGATTTGCACCCCCCTGCGCGCGTGAGAGAGTCTTTCACCTTAGGAATCTTAACTCCTTAAGGGGGGAGTCCCTTTATAAAGGGTTGCAAATCCCTTGGGTTTTCCGGTGTAAGAAATAACACACTAGAAACTCATCCTTCTTCCCAGTTTTTCCATTCTAACGGGTAAACTTCGAGAATCAATTTCTCATTCACCCGTTATCCGTTTTGAGCGTACCATAAATCGAATTGTAGCCCTCAACAAGGAAAATCCGAAACCACTTTGACCCGACCCAAATCGGAAGTGGACCCTACTCAAAAAATTGCCCCAAAATGACCATTTAATGCAATTTCAACACATTTTTCCAACATATATTAAGATTGAATACTTTTTAATCTTTTAGAAATTAAATACTCCAAATTGTTACCTTTAAGTTCTGTGACTTAATGTCAATGAAGGTGTACATATCATGCGCCTAACCAATTATAAGAAGGTTGCTCACTATATAGTTTTTATATAGTTTCTAATGAAAAGTGTTTTAAAAATTTAAAGTAAAATAAAAGTTAATTGTGACACCTATAGAATGCTTGCCTACTCCTCTCACCCACCTAATACTTAACAAAGATATACCGATTTCAATTTAAACAACCCATTTGTAGAGTAAATGAGTAATACAAGTCCATGTATATTAATTAGGACCAACCAAAACTTCATTTCGGTCATCATTAGTGATCTCAAGATAGTAGTGTCATGTATCGGGTATTTCATTGAGTACCTTGTATGGTCTTCTACTGAATTAGCCACGCCACGAATATGATGCATAGATAATCTTCAAGTGTGGACATTTGACTGCCAATTCAATGTAAAAACAATTATTGTATTTGATAGGTTATAGATTCGTAAAAATTTCGGACATATAATAAATAATATTGCAAAAGGTAAGAGGGAACTAGTGTAAGCACACACTCAGGGGCGGATCCAGGAATCTTAGATGCCCTGGGCTGAATAGAAATTATACTAGACTTAAATATTAAAGGGGTGGGCTAAATGCGAAAAATGAAAAAATTTACATTAAAAAAATTGAAAAATTTCTAAGTTGCCCTGGGCTTCAGCCTACCATAGCCTGTACATAGATCCTCCCCTGCACACACTATACATAATTTCCAATTTTATTGTATTCAACAAATAATTCTAGAGTGAGCATATACTACAAATTACAATGTCAAATTCAGAGTGAAGTGTTACTTTACTGGATGTTGAGACTCAAGAGTATCAAGAACGAAACATAGGAAATACAAACCTCATGGTTTATTGGATTTACAAGGAAAATGAGGGTGAATCAATCTTTTCAATCCATTAAAATTTTATTTAGATAATGGGGGGTGAAGACTCAAAGGTTTGTCTTTATGGTTTGAGACATCTTCTCGATTCTCTCTAGTGTCCAACTATTGTCGTTTCTAAGGACCTCTGACTCTAATTTGAAGGAGCGTCGATTGCAGCACTACCTCAGTTTTTTTAGTGTATTACTTGAGGTTATTCCATTTATTTGAAATATTTAACGGAGATGAGGTTTTGATGATGTATAAGGGTAGATAAGTCCATGTTAGACGTGAAACTGTTAAGAGTCGAGGTTCCATCCTAAACGGTTAACCTGATAGGAGGAGTAATCCAGATCTTAATATAGAACTTAATTTCATCACAAGTTTCCGAAGTGGGAATTCAACACTCCTCCTCACGACCAAACACTTTGTCTGAATCATGTTGTCGTTCATTTTTTCATCAATTCAGTATTGTCATTTTTTATGATCGTATCATCATTCTTCATAGGGGGTCAACACCATGGATTGATTTGACTCTGATACCATGTTAATATTCAGGGTTCCATCCTAAAAGGTCAACCTGATAGGAGTAATTCAGATGTTAATATAGTACTTAATTCCATTACAAGTTTCCGATGGGAGAATTCAATAGAAGTCCCACTTTTTAACAATTTATTGTGCATACATTATATTGACATAAATAAAAAGTACCAACCGTCAATCACAATATAAGGTATTAGTATAGATATGTATAATTTGGTTCAAATGAGAATATGATTTTATATGAGAAATGAAAATGAATCTGGAGTGTTGGATTTGACAACTGTGCATTTCATGAAAATGAAATGTGCACTACAATGAATGGAAAAATGTGGTGGCATTTTTGTAAATAAAGTATATTTCTTATGTTGTTGTAAATTGTGCATTATCTTAACCTTTTGCGTCGTTCTCATTTTTCACGGGAACAACATTCATGTATAATGCTATTTATATGTGACTATTACTTCCAAAGGTATACGTGGTGCTACTTATGCATTTCTTTAAATATATGTTTGGTATTATTGACCCAAGCTTTATTTGTGGTGGCTGGTGAATACACTTTTGTTCAACAATGTTCATAGAAATAATCAAAATGTTGAAACATAAATTGTCGTGATAAATTCATACAATTGTTGTTTACTTTTAAATTGATTGACTAGTATCCTTTTTGCAAAAATATATGTATAAATTATTTACAACAAATAATACCAGTGTTTAGTATTTAAATAGTGAAATAATTTCAAGCTTGTAGCATCTTGGCAATGAGCTTTAACTTCACTCATTAAGCATGAGACATCTTCTTTCAAAGACGGATGAAATCATGATGATAATCAAGCCACAACCCAACGATATTCAACAGCCTTTCACGTTATTTGCCAGTCTAATTTGAATACCTCATTATTATATGACATCATTGAGCGTTTTAAGACTTCTCTTTCTTCTTTTTGTTACGACCATTTGATGACTATGTAAAAAATAAAAAACACAAAACTAAATTATATAATAATCAAATAAATGACATTGTATGGCCTTCTCAATTCAATTGGAATTGATATAACTTTAACATTTTATTATTTTTTACCTTTAAAAGGAGTAAAAATCATTTGTTAATTCTAAACCAAGAATACTAGTTTTTATTTCATAAATAAGAGAAATTAATGCAAAGTTTGGAAAATACAACCACTTATATATGATAGTAGTTTCCAAGTTTGCATAATAACTTCTCATATCTAGTGAAGAAAAACATAATACTCATACTTTGTTACTCGTTATGTACTATGTATGTATAGTGTATCCCCTTTTAAATGTAAAAATGTCATTTTTTCTTTTTCCATTTTAAGTAGTTCTGTCTTCGTACCTTTTTATTTAATCATCTTTAACTTTTCTAGTGAAAGATGAAAAACTTTGACCAATTATTTCAATTAATATATTTATATAAATTTAATAATTTCATACTTTTATGATATTATTTCTGGAAAAGAACATTTGGATAATTTTCATAATATCAATACTTATATGTATCAATATATAATCGATCAAAGTTGGACAACATTGACTTAAAAATAAAATTTGGCTAAATAAAAAAGCGACAGAGGATTACTTAATCAATTTTTCTTTATTCTCCATGAAAGAACAAGTAGAGACACGTAAAATATAAACAAAGAAGGTATTTAAAACATAATTATTTCATAATTCATTGCATTCAAGTATTCATTCAATTTGCTACTATTTCATCCACAAGTCTAATGCTTTCAATACATTTAGTAGACTCAAAATATGTACTATTTCATCCACAGGTCCAATGCTTTCAATATATTTAGTAGATTCAAGGGTAGATTTAAGAGAAAAGGGTCAGATAGGTCATTGATTTACATAAAAGGGTCAAATAAGGCCTTATATAGGGTACTCTGTCCGGTCGTCGCCATTTGAGGTGGTTCCCGGTGGAATTTTTTGATGAAAGTTTTTGAACATCTTATTCATTAAGTCTAGTTTACTCATACCAAATTTCAGCTAAAACTTCAATCGGGAAGACATTCAAATGAATTCTTAAAAATGACTCTATTTTTTTTATTTATCAATCTTATTTTTTTATCGTGATTTATCAATCTTATTAGTCAACTTTCTTGTAAAATACATAATAATTAAAATAAATAAAATTAGAATCACCTATTTTGAAATTACTTAAAATCAAAATTTTGAAAATCTTGACATACATCCATGATGCAAAAGTTTGAGGCGGGGACCGCCATGGTCCACAGCGATAAAATTCTCAGCCCACCATGGAAAAATCAGAAAAGGTAAGGATTTCAGAATTAGCAATGCTACTAATCGACATAAAGTGATAAAGATGCTTCTTCAATAAAGATTATTGAATAAGACGCACTGAAAGGCGCCAAATTGGTCTGGATTATTAGGGACTCCCGTAGAAAGGCTACATCAATTGCATTCCCATTTCTGTCCATTGGAAATTACAAAGAGTTCTCTACAAATTTAGTTTCTGCGTGTAATGAAAGCTTTGGTAATCTAGTGCTGTAATTAAACGTTTATTATAAACCACACAGCATTTCTCTTCATCAATAATTTTATCAAACTAGGGTGAAATATGACAAACGTGCTGACTTCACATGCTAAGGTGTCAAATTGGGGTTCGCCCACATTTGTTAATTTCCAGTTCAGGTTCTTTTTTGTTTTTATAATCATTTTTGTGTTTTAAAGTGATCATTTTTACCATCAAAAAACTATTTGGGGTTGCCAATTTGGTTTTCACACCCTCATTTCCTGAAATTCTGCTTTCTTTCGGACAAAAAAGGGAAAGGTTGCAGACTTTCAGTTAACATTCTAAATTAAGTTTGATCAACCATTTTCAGAGTTAAGGTACTTGTTTTGTATTCTTTTTCATCTTTGTATTCTAAAGTGATCATCTTTATCATCAAAGAGTTATTTGGGTTCCATTATTTTAACTAATTCTTATTTTTACATGAAAAGGGAAAGGTTGCCAGTTCACTGTCCAAGCAAAGGTTTGTCTGGTGGTTGATGATCCGGAAGGGTCCTGGTTTCTCAGAGAATGGCAGAGAAGGAAGATATATTTCTTTCTGATAAAGGGAAAATCCCTTTTTCCATATTCTTGAGGGGTGCAAGGTGAAATTTTGATTCTCTTGCCCAATTCTTGGTTGAATTGAATTACAAAGTTTAGGTCTATAAGTTAAGATTTGGGGTTTCATCAAGTATTTCAAGATCTTATGTGTGAGTTTATATCTTTATATATGGCCGGTGTATGAGATAGCTTAACATAAAGCACACTAACCTGATAACAGAAGTACTAATAAAGAGATGTTTATGTAAGAAAGGGCAGTACTGTGTGTATTTCCTTACGATTTTGATGGTGTAAGCAGATCAGTTTTCAAGTTAGATGAGTTGGGTGTTGAAATAGCTAGGATTGCAGTCCCCGCAGCACTTGCTTTGACAGCTGATCCTATTGCATCTCTGGTTGATACTGCTTTCATTGGCCAGTTAGGTATCACCTTTAACTCTTACCTAATTCATTCTTACTATCTCTTGCTTTAGTCTTTGTGTGCTTTTCTAATGATTAATTATTACCAATGGCCCTTTCGAATTTTGTTGCAATCACGTGATCCCTGAAATTTACAAAATGGAAAGGAAATGTTGTTTATGTTGAATCTTGTTATGAACCAGTCCGTAAAGTTCGTGTATAAATTGTGTACAGGTGCAGTAGAACTTGCTGCTGTAGGAGTTTCAATAGCTGTGTTCAACCAAGTATCTCGGGTTGCAATCTTCCCTCTCGTCAGTGTCACTACCTCTTTTGTTGCCGAGGAAGATACTATCACGAGAGACAGTTCAATCCCACAGGACCCTGAAAGTGCTGATAATGGTGGATCAATGCCGGTTGAAAGCAAAAGGTTGATTCCTCAAAATGGTATGTATGTCCGGTATCTATAGCGCAGGTTTACCTCACACTTTATATACATCACGTAAACGTTTAATGCCGGACACTTAAAACGCCCCCTCTATCTAAACCGACTGGACAAATTGAAGGTAGCTCTACCCACAAAATCATGAGAACCACACAAGCATATAAGTAACCCCCAATCGGAACAAACTCTTATATCATAAAAAGATGTGAGTTAAGGATTTTTTCACACATTATATATTAGATATAGAGTTGGAAGCATCCGATGTGGGATACTTAAGAATATCCGAGTGGGTTGTTGAAGGATCCAGTGAGCTATGTCCACTTCAACAGTTTAATTGCAAATTTGCAATACTGTGGAAAACCTGTTGGTTTGTTTGACTCTAGCTTTACTGATTAGATTCTGAAGAGAGTGGAAATGGAAATGAACCAATTGCAAACAGCTTTGAAGTAGTAGCTCCTAACAGCACAAAGCGGCACATCCCATCAGCCTCATCAGCTTTGATCATTGGGGGCATCCTTGGCATCATCCAAGCAATACTTTTAATAGCAGGGGCAACTCCCGTGCTAAAATTCATGGGGATAAAATCTGTAAGTGGAAGAGAACTGGGAAATGTAAAATTCTTTCTATATATTCATTTTGTGAGACATTTGATCGATTGAAGTTTTTTTGGTCATCTTTACTTTGATAGGGCTCACCAATGTTAAAACCTGCACAACAGTACTTAGCATTGAGGTCACTTGGGGCTCCAGCAGTTCTTCTCTCTTTAGCCATGCAGGGGGTTTTTCGGGGATTTAAGGACACAAAGACTCCACTCTTTGCAACCGGTACGGTCCTTTTGAAGCTTGTAAAATGCTAGGGAAAGAATATGGGATGTGAAATATAGAGCGTACTCAGAACGAAAAAAAAACTTTGGGGTAAATAGAGCATTGGCTCACTCAAGAAATTTATTATTGATAATTTTCAACTCATATTATTAATTTGTATTGTATAATATGAAGACTGATAAATCTAAACATTCGAAAGGTTTTAAAATACAATAATCATTAATCATATATCATTTCCCCCAGGAAAATAACGTTTCCTATGAATTTATTGCGTTATTTAGTGAACTCATTGATTTAAATATACTTGTAAGCAATGAATAAAGGTGAGTTCAAGTCTCAAGTTATCATGTATTTCCTGAAGTGGGGTTTTCTTTAAATAACTAACATTTCTATTTGTTTTTCAGTGGTGGGAGATTTAACAAACATAATATTGGATCCTATCTTTATCTTTGTTTTCGGATTAGGTGTTAGAGGTGCGGCTATTTCCCATGTCATTTCTCAGTAAGTTTTATGAGGAACATAAAGATACAGCTTTCGCATGTTGGAATGCTGTAATTAATGAAACTCAAAACTAGTTTATCCCTTGATTTTCTATTTTAGGTACCTTATTTCGATCATACTTTTTTGGAGATTAATGGAGAAAGTTGATTTAATGCCCCCTAGTCTCAAAGGCCTGCAATTTGCTCGATTTCTTAAAAATGGTAAGGTTCCTTCTTATGCAACCAGCATTTTCTCAAGAAATCGCCGCTTTCAAGATTATAAAATTATTATCAAGCTATCTACAGTTCAAATAACCGGTAAGTGATGTACTTCTTTCATTTTGCAAAATCAGGTTTTCTGTTATTGATGAGGGTGATAGCTGTTACATTTTGTGTAACCCTAGCTGCATCATTAGCTGCACGTCTAGGGCCCACAGAAATGGCTGCATTCCAGGTGTGCTTGCAGGTCTGGTTGGCTACCTCTCTTCTCGCTGATGGTTTGGCTGTTGCCGGACAGGTTAGAATGTAATAAGTAATTTTCTTCCATGCCAATCAACTATTAAGACTCATGAGTTGTGATTAATTCATAATGGTTAACTTGATAGTATGAGTAACCGGATATGTGGTTCGTTACTTTATATATAGGCACACACCCCTCATGGTCTCATGGAAAAAACATGGTCTATATGTTTTTTTTTCTATATAGGTCCACAACTCCACATCATGGTTGTTGTGATGACTCTAAAACTATGTTAGGATTTGGCCAGTGTGGATGCCTTCATATTAACTACTGATTATCCTGACCATTTTTAGTATCTTCACCATCTTCAGGCAATACTAGCCAGTGCATTTGCTAAGAAAGAGTTCAGTAAGGCAACTGCAACTGCATCCCGTGTTCTTCAGGTGCTTGCTTCATCTTACTTTTCAAACCTTTCCGGCATTTATTTGGATAATATACATGAAAGTTTTGGTAATGCAGCTAGGGATAGCTCTTGGGCTGATCCTTGCCATGCTTCTTGGTGTTGGTTTACATTTTGGAGCAAGACTATTTACAAAAGACACCAATGTTATCGCCCTCATTGGTGTTGGAATCCCGGTATCTCTTCTATTTCTTGAAAAAAAAACTTTAAGGAGTAGTAAGTCATAAATCGACTCCATTTTTATTTAGTATGAAACTTACCCTTTTTTGGCATTTCAGTTTGTTGCAGCTACTCAGCCAATCAATGCATTGGCCTTTGTTTTTGATGGTGTGAACTTTGGTGCATCAGACTTTGCATACTCTGCCTACTCCATGGTAAGCCGTCCCATACCTTGTCAACAAAAAAAAAACATTTTAATTTTCTTACAGCAACTATAAACTTTTTTTTTTCTGCATTAATATGATAATGTCTCTTTTGGATCAAATCTGTTCAGAAAATTGTCAATTGTTATTACTAGTACTAAATATTTACCAATGGAGCTGCTCGTACCCACAGGTTACGGTGGCTATCTTCAGCATCATACTTCTCTTCATTCTTTCATCAACGTTTGGATTTGTTGGAATCTGGGTTGCACTTACAATATACATGAGTTTGAGAGCCATGGCCGGCTTCTGGAGGTCAGGATATTTCTCATACAAGTGTTTTTGATGAAATTGTTACAATAAAAGAGAAGCAATATTAATTGTTGAAATAATTGCAGGATAGGAACAGGAACAGGTCCATGGATGTTTCTCAGGAGCTGAAAGTCCCCAACTCTGTAGAAAGATTTGAACTTTGTTTAGGGGAGGGGTGATCTTTTTTCATGCTAATGTACAATATTTAGGTAACCAGCAGATAGAGACAGATAGTAATATCATGAGTTAATATTGATATGCTCTGGCTTTGCTTAACTGTAAAGTGTATGTATTTCTTGATTGTCATCAGTCAAATGTAGACTAGGCCGAGGTTTTGCATGCAGAGTATTTTTAGTTTTATATCCAACAATCAAAGTGAATAAAATGAGTGTAGCATTTTGGGTTAAGCTAGTTAATTCATTGAATTTAGTCCAGATCTTTTGATTCATGTGCTTCATAGAGACTTCAGTTATCTCAAATCAACCTAATTATGAATTTTTATGTTGACCAGTGCCAAATAAACTCAAATGAACAAATGGCCTTAACTAATTGTATGTATTCATTTGGGATTTTAATTCAAGTAACAACTTAAAAGCTCTTTTGATAACAATCCATTTTTATGATCAAAATAAGTTAGTTTTAGGTTACTCTTGTTATTGTATTTGATGAAAGATAAATAAGATTTTTATTTATTTTATTAATAAAGTCATCGTTGCTATTCCGCAAACTAACTACTAGAGCCACATCGTGTAATAAAGGGAAGATTAGCAATCGGCGGATGGACCTAGCGACCTTCGCTAGGGTTTGAGTTGATCGGCGGCGTCCCAAACGATCGTCCGAGTAGTCTTTGAACAGTGTTTCAGTGGTGTTGAGTATTGAGAGTGTGAGGTGGACCGAAATAGCAGGGGAAGGAGTGCGTCGCGGCAATTGATCGCATTTGCAGGTGATCTCCTTCGTTCGCAGGTATTTGTATGTAGTGTTATTTTGGGCCGGCAAAGTGTCCGGCGAACAGATTGTTTGGGTGGTGCTATTGATGCCACGGAACAAAATCACAAATCGGTTGTGTACAACAATTGATCGATTCTCTTGCTCCCTTTTGTTGTTTCGGCGATCCAAATCAGCTAAGCGGAGATTGATTCATATTATCAGTTAATTGATTCTCTCGACTGTCTGGTAACCCTATTTGCTCCAAATATGTTCGTGGATTCGTCATTTTGCGATTGATGTCAACGGCATCCGGTGGCTTCGGTGGCGGCTATGGGTCTCAAATGCTTGGGTTGGGTATTTTGGCTCTGATGGTGATTGAGATGGGAGTTGTACCTATTGTGTTTGATCCGGGTGGAATGCTAGGGGTATGGGACCCGAGTGAAGAGGGCGAATTTGGGCTCGAATCGGCTGTTGGAGGATCACCACAGTTGTTTTGGCCCACTCATGTGATGGAGGAAGATTATGGTAGGTGCATGATTCGTCCCCCTCCTGAACCGCCGCCAAAGAGGAATTGCATGATGAGGACCTGGAAGATAACGTCAGAAGAATGGATTCCGCGGTTCCAACTAAAGTTTATTTATTTTTGCTATGTTTTGGTTGCTAATCTTTATTTTAATTTTATTAGGTCAAATAATAAGGGTGGCGGATTCTTAGATTGGTTTAACTTAGTTGTTAGATTTCTGATGAAAGGCAATCAGGCTGATTCAACCGCTAATAGCCTTAAAGCTCTCACATTTTCAGCGATTAGTCTCGCTCTTTTTTGGGTGGACTATTCTATGTCTGATATAGAAGTGAGGGGGGCGGCAGGCTTATGGTTACGTTTGGCTAGAGAGAGGTTAGTATTAGTTGGTTTAAATATTTGCAATTCTCCTAGTTGTATTGCGCGATTTGATTTAATTTAATATATGCCAGTTTCCGCTAAAAAAACTACTAGAGTCACAATTTCAACATATTTCAGATTATTCAATCAAATTGACCCTCATCATGGGTCCTAAAACTCCCATTAGCTTGCCCCAAAAGTAACAATTTGAAACTTTTGATGCCTCTAGACTCTAGTAATCATGGAAACCTTTTAAGAAAGTGTTTGTGGGTACTTCTATTTAAATAAAAGTGATTTTTAGAAAGCGGACCAGTCCAGTTGGTCGTCGACTCACCCTCCCTTACGGGAGGTCTCGGGTTCGAAACTCAATGGAGTGAGTTTCAGCCCTGCTTACTCCAGGCCCCCCGCCCTCCTCCCTCAGATGTCCCCTGGAGTAAAAAAAAGTGATTTTTAGAATGATTTTAGAGAATGTATTTAAAGTATTTAATGGTAAAAGTTGATAGTATTTGAAAAATTCAATTTTGATCAAGTAAAAGTTGATATTGCTTGATTAAAAAGTACTTTTGTTTATTTAAATAAGTGAGAAACAATTTAAAACACATTTACACTTATTTCCACCTTTTAGGACTGGGTCGCAAGAGATGAACATGACAATTTCGTTCAAGGAGGGAGCAAAACATGTTTAGTCATACGGCCAGCGAATTTGGCGGAACATTAAGCACTAGAGATGTTTTGGCTGGGATCAAATCACATGGGTGGTCACAGGTCATGCTGGAAACGGACTCACTTGTGTACATTAGGAATAATGACTGGAAATGGGAATTCTTATTTACATGATGTGGTTAAAGGTATTAAATAGGGGCTTAGGTGCGAGGAAGACATTGAAATTATCCATTGTTGGAGAAAAGAAAATAGGAAAAATTGATAGTAATAATCCCAACTATTGGCGGTCCGCTCATAATAATCCCAACTATTGATTATTCCAAAATAATCCCAACTTTAGGGACCTTCCGCCAATAATGGTCCCTATGAATAAATTCTTGTAGTTTCTAAAGTTGATGAGATGAGATATAACAAGTAATCCCTATAAATAACTCAACTTTTAATTTTTACGCTTAATTTCTATTTAAAATTCACTTTTTATAGAGGTAATATCTGATCATGGACCATTATTGGCAGACAGTCTATATAGTTGGGATTATACAAAAATAATCAATAGCTGGGATTATTTTGAGCGAACCGGCAATAGTTGGGATTATTTTTTCAATTTTTCCAAGAAAATAAGGTAACTTACAACTTTGCTAGAGAGGCCCTATTCAAAGCTAGTGGTGTGGTGCTTTATGATTTTATTCCAAGTTCTATTGCGAATCAATTGACGTTCGTTTAACTTAATAAAAATTTCGCGCTTTATTATTATTTTTTACAAACCCTCCATAAGACTATTCACTACAAAAAAACACGCCTTTAGTCACGGACGTTAGTCACGGATTTCGTCCGTGACTAGCCTAGTCACGGGCTAGTCACGGACAAGTCACGGATTTTTGAAAAAAAAAATTAGTCACAGATTTGGCCGTGACTAAGTCCGTGACTACATAAATCCGTGACTACGAACCGTGACTAAAGTCCTCCGGTTGCCCCAACTCCGTCGCCGGTAAGTCTGTTTTTATTCCGGCGACTTAGTCACGGACTTATCCGTGACTAGGTCTGTGACTAAAAAAAATTAAATTTCCAGCGCTCAAAATTAATTTCTCAAAATTTAGTCACGGAAAATTCCGTGACTAGGTCCGTGACTAGGTTTTTTATATAACTGAACCACACCAATTCATTCCATGTATATATAATACAGTATCTGTTTGAAAGATCGAAGGATGTAGTCCATCTTATGTCATTTTCCCTGTTTATGCAGATAATAAGGTATGTTATTTGAATTCTTTTTATTTAGAATTAGTTGATTCAATTTAAAATTGTTTAGCTAAGCGTAGTTTTAAATGTAGTGATGCATTAAGTTAAATTAAGTAAAATTAGTTAGCTAAACGTAGGTTTTAAATAATTAAGTTAAATTAATTAGTTAAGTTAGTGTAGCTTTTGATAATATTAGTTAAATTTAAATACTAGTTAATTGTAATGTGTAGAAAAAAGGTTGGTAATTAATTAACGAATTGAATTAGTTAAAATTAGTTAAACGTAGGATTAATTTAAATGTAATGTTAAATTACTTAATTTTTTAATAATATTAGTTAAATTTAAGTATTAGTTAATTCAAATGGGTATATATATATATGTATATATATAGATATATATATGTGTATATATATATGTATATATATATACATATATATATATATATATATATATATATATATATATATACATATATATATATATACATATATATATACACATATATAGGGTGCGGTTCCGGTGCAAACCATGCTTCCGGTGCTAACCTACAAACCAATACCATCCCTTGGATTTGAAATAACGGACGAGTGATGAAATATGGGATCCATTGCTAAAGTCTAAAACGGTGCAGATACACGCATGAGATAAATTCGGATAACTACGTTTTTTAGTTTTAGGCATTTTAAAAGGTCACAATGGTAATTGAAAAGTAGAAGTGGCCGGCAAATCTAGTTATTTATGGAAATAATTTAATAACTAAATCCCATGATTAAACAAATGAGCACCATACGGAAGGCAATCCCAAAATTTCAGCTAACCTCCCACTAAAATTTCAACCACCCATGTTTAGCAAATTAAGAAAAAGGAAAGATGCAAGGATTAACGTTGGAATTTTTAGCCATCAACTAAACTTGCAATAACAATCCAATTATTCTTTATTTTGGGAATATTCACTTGTCACTTTTGAAAATTGTTCAAAATTTCACAAAAAGTAAATACAAAATTAAATATGAGGGAATATTTCAATTCTTAATTAACCTTTTATTTTTTAAACTTAAAATATTGATGTTATGGAAATTTCATTATATATTGATAACATGTGCACAGTTTATATTATAACTTCTAACACATTAAATTTGTAAGAACTTAACACATGTAAGAAGTGCCTGCATATTAAAGTTACATAATGTGCATAATAAGATTAATGGATGTGCATATTATGGTTACGAGATATGCATTATATATTTATATTATTTTCATAACTTATATTAGAACTATATAGTCATAAATATGTCAACGTTGCATTATAGTTGTTCATATCTTGCATTTTATCATTATATCATATGTTGCATCTTTCCATTGTGGCATCTGCATTTAATAGTTTCATATGTTGCATCTTATCATTATAACATGTGCATTTTAGGAGTTCATATATTATATTTTAGTATAATGAAATGTGCTCTTTAATACTTCATACAGGTATACTACATCTCATCGCTATGACATCTGCATTTTAGTAATTCATATGTTGCATTTTATGAATATGCATGTGCATTTTAGAAGTTAATACAATGCATATTAGTAAAATTTTGCCCCTCTTTTTTTTTTAAGCTTAACCCGGTTTTTTTAAAACATTCATCTGCCCGAGGAGCTGACAGGCTGAATTAAAAACAGTAGTCACGGTCAAATCCGTGACTACGGCCGTGACTAATTCAAAAA